CTTTGTTTTCTAACTTGCATTCTTTCTGCCATGTCCCCTATTGGGCAATGCTCTCTGAGCCTTAGTGAGGATGGAATAGATTGCTTTGTTAGGGTAGAGCATTTATTATCCTTTACTTACACAGAAGAACTTGTGCAACCAGGAATCTCTGTTCATCACTATTCAGTGGTCTGAATAAACCTGAGAGTGGCATTTATCTGGGGGTAAGCATACATAGTTACAGGGCAGCCTGATGCTATATCAATGTAGATAAACATCAGTATTCAGTTCCCCCTTAAGGCTTATGATCTCCCTCACCATGGGGTTTTGTCCAGGTTTCTAGTACAAGGTCTGTTTTTCCTTCTGTAGAGTGGGTCTCAAATCCAATTGGAAAGCAAATGATTATCCCCATAACCATAGTGCCCTTTAAGGCATACCTTACTTATTTAGTTGATTGGTCATGGTGTTCACAGAAAAGTGAGACCATTGGTACCTCTTCTCCCTCAGTAGGTCTACATAGCCTCTTCTGGCACAATGAAAGCTACCTGGGAGGGAGGAAGCTTCCAGCTCAGTCCTGGTCATCTTCTGCGTATCACACATCCAGGATGTGTAGTGTCTTCAGTACTAGGTCTCCTCATCTACCTCTGATGGGTAACCAAAAGGAATAGCAAGAACGTGTATTTTTTTGGAGCCCCTGAGACTTCCTTGATCAACAACTCAGAGGTATCCCCACCTGTGGCATTGGAGTTTAATAAACCACAGCTTCTGTGGACAGCTTTTTCAGGTTATTCAAGGTAGCTCCCATCAAACTCCTTTTTTAAAAAACATAAATTTTATTTTTAAATACGGTTACAAGATACTAGGTAATCATGTGACTCTTTCATACCCACTTCGCCTTGGTTAATCTTCTTCCTCATCTCCTCTGTCGTGATACATGCTTATATTTCTACATCTTAGCCATCCTCCATCATGTTCTAGAGTGCTTTGCCTTACTTATCTAAGGATAATTCTCATATACAGACTCGGGCTTCACACTTAATTTAGCCTATGATGTCATTGATTTATATGAGTTGTCCTGAAAATGCAAATTGGTAGTGACGGGGCTTGGAGAGCAGTTGTCTGGGATTGGGCTGGTAATAGACAGAAGGAATGTTGCAGAAGTAACAGAAATGTTCCAGAACTGGATTGTGATAATAGTTGTGCATTTCTATAAATGTACCGCAAATCATTTAATTGTATATTTCAGACAGATAATTTTATGACATGTAATATATACCTTAATTAAGTTGTCTGTGGAGGAAAGAAATTCAGGGAGTTGCCAAATTTTTTTATGAGCTTGCTAATTGTCCTAATGTTCAAAAGCATGAAATAAAGAGCCCGGGAGGTGGTTCAGCCATTAAAGATGTTTGCTTCTCCAAGCTGAAAGACTGCTGGCCTGAGTTTGATCTCTGGAACACAGATAAAGTAGGGAGGAGACAGTTGACTCCTCAAAGATTTCTTCTCACCTCCACAGGTGAGCCGTGGCACACACGCCTCTCCCCTCACGCATCATGCAGTTGCACACATGCAATAAGAAAAAAATAAGATGATACATTTAAATAGTAAATAAATGAAATGGCCTAAAACAAGTTCTCAAACAGTAGTATTTCACTGAGATATTAGAAAATAAAAATAGCAATATTTATATTTCACAGACTAATTTTTTTTAAAAAAATTTATTGGTCATACCTCAAGGAAGAAGTTACCAGTTTCCCATCCATTGGCCCCATCACAACAAAGTTGATGAAACATGTCTATACTTTGCTCCCATCCTTGACTCCTAATGCTTACTGGGGTGTACAGTAATATTTTGCTACAGTGAAACTTTCATAAAGAGAATACATGATCGACAAGCAAGGTATTTATCAGATTCTTGCTCATAGCCAATGTACAAGTAGAATTTAGGGACAGCATACTTTAATCTGACCAAGAATTTAAATTCTTTTCCCATATGCAACATCCTTCTTGCTTTGGCTATTGACAGTTGCTACATGTAGAGCTAAAAATGCAAATGTAAACTTTACAGCTATTTAAGTGAGAGAGAAAAATGTCATAGTAAGTAAGCTGTTGCATATTTGGTGCAGAAGACAGTGTAAAGAATAGGAGAGAGATAGACGAAATCTATTGTTAGAAGGGAGCTTAAGGTTGCCTGCATCAGTACATTCCACCAAAAAGATCATTTACAAAGACACATAGCTGCTGTGTCCACTGAGAATATGCTCAGAGGCCAGCATTTTAAGAAGGTGCTGTGGTGAGATAAAGGGATGAGTTTTCTGTGTCCAGTTGGTTTGCTTGAGGAGGATGGGTTAGAGGAAGGCCCAGAAATTGTTTTTTTTTTTTTTTTTTTGTTGTTGTTGTTGTTGTTGGTTTTTTGAGACAGGGTTTCTCTGTGTAGCTTTGGAGCCTGTCCTGGATCTCCCTCTGTAGACCAGGCTGGCCTCGAACTCACAGAGATCCACCTGCCTCTGCCTCCCAAGTGCTGGGATTAAAGGCGTGTGCCACCACCGCCCGGCTGGGATCTAAAAATCTTAAAGTATTTGAAGATAAGTATTTATGCATGTATCTCAAGAACTCATAATTTTAATGTCTTTTGGTAAAAAATGGAGTTTTCCAACTTGTTCAGAACTTGATATAATTGAAAACTTGCAAACCCAATATTTAAAATGGCAAAATGTGGGTTTTATGAAGATTTTTTTAAAGTTATGACCTGGAAAATGCTTATTCATAAGATTGGTATAGCTTTCCATATACATAAAAGATTTTTCTTCAAGATTCAGCTGCAGCCAGTACATCTGCTCTTCTTAAGAGGGAATTAGGGCTGGAGAGATGGCTCAGAGGTTAAGAACACTGGCTGCTCTTCCAGAGGTCCTGAGTTCAATTCCCAGCAACCACGTGGTGGCTCACAACCATCTGTAATGAGATCTGGATACCCTCTTCTGGCATGCAGGCAAACATGCTGTATACACAATAAATAAATAAATCTTAAAAAAAAAAAAAGAGGGAATTAAAATAAGCTACTTTTGTGGAAGTTAAGCTGAGAACTTTAAGAACTTGTGCCAAAATACCCGCTCTAGATTTTGTTTCATTCCATTGAATTTACTTATCTTTATATTAGTTCTCTAAGTGCACTGAACTTTTAAAATACCCACTTCTTTAGTTCAAGGAAGCCTCCTTTTTCCTTAAACACCGTTTCATGCAGTTTTAAGTTTTGTTTGACTCTGTGCAGTCTTTATATGCTATCCTACATCCTACATGTCATTCCACATGTCAGATTGTTATCCAAGGTTGACTTCCACAGTAGCAGTTTTTCATAAGAATCATATCACGAATCTTTGTAACAAAAGCCTGAGAGTCAGCTTTTATTCCCAAGAGGTGGCCAACGATGAGCTGCAGTCTTTCTGGAAAGAAATGTTTTTGTATCTGTTCTTACTTCCAGGGCTAATGGGAGCCATTATACCAGTTGGTCATTAGGAAACTAACTTCTCTTCCATTTCTTTTTTTTAAATTAGCATAACATTATTTATCTATTAATTTATTTATTGAGGGTTTTTTTTATTCATTTTACATATCAATCACAGATTCCCCCTCTCCTCCCTCCTCTCCTGCCTACCCCACCCCCACCCACTCCCCAGTCCCTCCTCCAACAAGGCAAGGTCTCCCATGGGGAGTCAGCAGAGCTTGGTACATTCAGTAGAGGCAGGTCCAAACCCCTCCACTTGCATCAAGGCTGTGCAAGGTGTCCCACCATAGGACACCTTTTTAGGTGTCCCTCCAAAAAGCCAGCTCATGTACGAGGGACGGATCCTGATACTACTGCCAGGGGGCCTCTTAAGCTTCTACACCAGTAACACTCAATGGCTCTTATTGGTAGTTCCATTCTGTCTACAAGAATGTTTACTGGCTACCCAGAATGTTTATTGAATTAGATTTACAGCCTGTAGAAAGTAGACTAGAAACACCCAGAGCCAGCCTTTGAGTTGCTTACAGCCTGGTCCAGCCCTCAAGCTTTGAGATGCCTGTGGATCTCTTGAACCTTTTGTTAAATAGACTGAGTCTGGGTCAACGGGCCTAAGGGTGGGATATAAAGTTGACACCAAGATAGCTGGAACCTGAACCTTACACTTGGAGGTGTAAGAGTCCTGACCTCATAGGAAGGTCTTAAGGGTGCTTGTGAATCATGCAATTGCCATGCATTTACTCAGATTGGTCATCATCTATAGCAGCATAAGATAACAGTCATCTGATAAAGAGCAATGAGAACCCAACATTACCTTGCCTGTAAAGAATTCATGACCTCAGGGCTTTCTTAGCATTTCTAAGCTAAGCTACAAAGTGATAGAGAGATAGATGTCAGTTTATTCGACCTAACCATGCATTGTTTAGACTGCCCCAATATATTTTTGATAAGCAAAACGCATCTTCATCTGGTTACTTTGGCTTTCTAAACTCTTGACCACTTAGTCTGAAAAGAAACTCCTCAGAGAATAAGAAGGAGTAATCATTAATGACAATGCCTTCAGGGCCCATGTGAGGCTTTTGAATACATACTAATGGTTAGGATTAAAGTGGGAGGGTCCTAGGAGGAAAAACTCTTCATCTTATCATGCCATGTGACATATTGGGTTTTGCACAGCTAGAACTTCCAGTTTTGTTTTGTTTTATTCAAGAAAAGCCTGAAATACAAGTTTCTTGTGAAATTTCCCATTTTTGCAATGTTGACTACCAATTGAAATTCTTTAAAATCATCTAAGCCAAGGAAGCACATCTGGGTGCCATGAGCCATCGGATGGCAATGCCCAGTGCAGAATCCGCTGTGGTCTCTGAATACATGTCTCATGATTGGAAAATTATAAATTTTCAATGAAACTCACAGCTCTTCTTTCTTTAGATGCTTTGCTCAGAAGGAAGTTTCTGTGATTGGTAGCGGGGTCTTAGACTAGCTCGTGATCATTAAAGCTGTCTTTCCTTCCATCTCATTCTAGACTACAGGACAGGCCCGTGTTTCACACAAGTCAATAATCAGATGTGCCAGGGGCAGCTGACGGGCATCGTCTGCACGAAGACACTGTGCTGTGCCACCATTGGACGAGCCTGGGGTCATCCCTGTGAGATGTGTCCAGCCCAGCCTCAGCCCTGCCGCCGGGGCTTCATTCCCAACATCCGCACAGGAGCCTGTCAAGGTGAGTCAGCCGTGTTTACCACCACAAGTATCACCTCTTTGATAGGAGTCGGGAAACCTGAAACTGTGTGTGGGAACCTTGACAACAGTACCCATTGCCATGGTGGACCCTGCTCAGAAATCTGATTAGAGATAGTTTATATTTATAATTTATATTTTAGTCACCCAATGGAAAGTTTCCGTTCTTAACATTAATAGAGAAGATGAAAAATAAAATAACTTTTGTTTTGTTTTGTTTTGTTTTTTTCCGAGACAGGGTTTCTCTGTGTAGTTTTGGTGCCTGTCCTGGGTCTCACTCTGTAGAGCAGGCTGGCCTTAAACTCACAGAGATCTGCCTGCCTCTGCCTCCCAAGTTCTGGGATTAAAGACATGAGCCACTGCCGCCCAGCATAAAATAACTTTTAAAAACTACTTCTTTTTTTTTTTTTTTTTTTTTTTTTTTTTTTTTTTTTTTTTGGTTGTT